ACTTGTTACTAGAAGCGATGCACTTGTTACTAGTAGCGAACCTTGTTCCTAAGAATGTCTAGATTCTGTGGTTTCGCTGCAAGGGCACCGCGGCCTGGAAGTTGCGAGCGACCGTCCCGTGGAGCGCCCGGACGGCGGAGAGGTCCGTGGAGCGCCATGGTCTTCCGGTGCTGCTGGGCCTCGTGGAGGAAGGCGGCACGGCGCTGCTCTTCCTCGGCGATCTCTTCCTCGGAGAACCGGAAGAAAATGGTGAAAAAGATGTTGAAAAAATGAAGGAAAAAGAACATTCCATGTTTGTTTAATGATAACGGATATTGAAGGCCTGACGAAAATGAAGAGAAAAAGAAAGGAGAAAGGTCCAAAGGGTCCAAGGAAGGAAAGAAAAGATAACATTGCAGTGCAGCGGGAAATGTGTCTGAATTTGGTGACGCGGGTTTACGGGTTTACGCGGGTTTACGCGGGTTTACGCAGGTTTACGGGTTTACGCGGGTTTACAGGTTTGCTGGCTTAGAGATGTTTACGAGTTGCAGTGTGTAGTCGTTCTATCATTCTTCAACAGGCACCAATCACCGGCTGGATTTATATGCAAACATGTGCGCTGATGGCTTGCACTGAGCACCACTTGGTTTGGCACCATGGTGATGCTGAAAATGCGGGTGTCCTTTTTGAACACTTTTCAGGACAAAAACATGTGTATTTTTTGTCCTGAAAATTGTTCAAAAAGGACACCTTTGGGATGTTTGTGATGTCGGCTTTGTCCTTTGCATGTCTAGCATCCCTTGAACACATTCTTCCGGAAACAGCCTTGAAAAAGGTTGTGCTTGACATGAACCTCTGTGAATCTCGTCAAGACTAGGTGGTAAAACCCTATGCGGTCGTAATGTAGACGCTCCCAAGTGACCTACCTCTCAAGTGATCTACTGCTCTCAAGTAAACCGGCGTAAAAATCGGTGTGAATTGGTAAACCGGTGTAAATTGGTAAACCGGTGTATATAAACCGGTGTAAATCGGTAAACCGGTTAAACCGGTGTAGATCGGTAAACCGGTGTCGTCAAATACCAGACGCGCGTGATGTCGCAATGTAACAGTGTTAATAGAAAGTTGTAGGAAGCAACAGAGTGTGACAGCCGGCAACCGAGCGTTGCTTTTTCTGAAACGCAATGGGGGGGTCAAGACGCAAGGGCCTCCAATGGCAAGGGAGTAGCAAGCAAGGAACGCGTTCTCTCGCAAGCAGTGGCAAGGGTAAGACATTTTGGACTTAAGTCCTTGATAATGCATTCTTATTGATAGAATACATTCCAGCAAGCAGTAGTAAGGCAAAATTGTGCAAAATTGGACGGCTAAGGCCTAAGGTCTTCAAGTAGCTCTGAGCGCGCCCGTGACTTCAGTCTTGCTTCCGGCCATTTCTTATTACTTGCCGTTTTCATATAGAGGGACTGAGAAATGTTATCCATGACCAAGCGGATGGTGTGAACTCAGTGAAGGGAACTCCGTTTGACTATCTCGCAGTTCTCCCAATCAACCCAACAAGTTGGACTATCTCTCTGCTCAAGTCTCAGTTGAGGAAAACAGAAGCTACTAGGAGCAAAGGGCATCGCTACGAACGGAGCAAGGGCCTTACTATTAGGAACAAGAAGCTAGTAGAAACAATATATAAATGGGATCTAATTAAAGTAATGGCCTGATTCAAGGGGTCTAAAAATCAAGCTGTGACTCACTGACCTTGGAGGCCATCGCTACTAGGTTCCGTAGCGTCCGATCGCTCCTAGTAGCGATGCCCTTTGCTCCTAGTAGCGTCCTTGCTCCTAGTAGTATGGCCAGGAGCCCCTAGTAGCTTCTTGTTTCTAGTAGTAAGGCCAGGAGCCCTAGTAGCGTTAAAACTCATGGTCTTCAAGTCTTCAAGTCTCCTTGAGTCGAGCCTTCCGAGACAGACATTGCTGTTGGTGGTCTCGAAGCCATCGAACTTGCTGGATGTCAGTGTGGGACTCAGGCCCTACCGGTGCGGCGTCTTCATCTGGAAGCAAAGAAGCCCGGAAGGCCAAGGCTGAAGACAAGGACGCAGAAAGACGAGCATTCTCAAGCCTTCAGAAAAAGAAGTCAGTCATCTTTCTTTTAGCCCGGGGAAGTGGGCCGTAGAGATAACTAGGTAGCTAGTAGAAACAAGGGAGTCGCTAGTAGCTTAAGTAGCTACTACCTGGGACACAGGATAGCGTTCGCACTAGTGATTTGGTTCCTAGAATTTTAGGACAACTTAACCATATTAGCGACGGCCTCCAACGCTGTTTCTTGATTTCTTGCATTCCTTGCTTCTTTAACTTTATTTCCTGCTTAACTACCCTTTTGAAAAGGCATGTGCACGATAGACGCAATGCGGAGGCCTTGCTGCGTGCACTTGATCTTCGATATGTTTCACCCACTCTCGCAAAGGGAGTTCCTGTTCTTCAGCCGCTTGTCTTTCTTCAGTGAGCTGTCGGCCTTCTCTTTCTGCCTTGGCCAAGGCCTCGCGAAGCTCTTCCGCCTCCTCCGCAGCGGCAATCGTCAGGGCATGGCGAGTCTCTACTGACCGATTTCTCAGGTTTCCAACCTTTAGACCTTTAGACGCTACGTTCGGGGCTCCTGGCCTTACTAGGAGCAAGGACGCTACTAGGGGCTCCTGGCCTTACTACTAGGAGCAAGTGCCTTACTAGTAGTAACAAGAAGCTACTAGTAACAAAGGGCATCGCTACTAGTAACAAGAGGACGCTACGTGGCTCCTGGCCTTTCGTTTCCTGGCCTTTTCATTCCCTTCGTTTGCCTTAGCGCCTACTGAGCTGTACACCCAGCGGAGCGGAGCGGCTTCTCGGCTCGTGGCTCGATCCTGCTTGCTGGAGGCAATGCTCTCGTTGGCTGCATAGAGGTGCTGTCGCCGCAGGTGGGCGATGGACACCTCGCGTCGTGCAATCTCCTTTTGCATCATGGACTCGACGTGGCGTTTGTGGATCTCCTCATCCGAAAGCCCGGCAAAAGGAATTAAAGGATCATCGAAATGCCGATGATCAATGCCCATCTGAGCGTAATGCTCAACTGCTGCAGCATGATCTCGGTCCCCTTCACTACTTGCAGGTGACAATGGATTGATCTCGGTGAGCTTTCGGGTGTGCTCAGCGTGCTCAGCGTGCGCCATCTTCGCTTCATCTTCCAGCTGTTCGGCATAGGCTTCAGCGGCGACCAGCTCGGCTGTCCAACATGGTAACTGCTGGTCATAGCTCCGGAGCTCCTCACCAACACGTTGCATGCCAAAGGTTCTAAAGAAACAGAAAAGGAAGAGGTCGAACCGTTTCCAACTAGCGTAATTCCAGAAGCGACATGACATCCTGCGACTTGCAGAACCATGACATAGCTCCTCACGGAGATTTTGCACCTCAAACTCCAACACAGCGCATTCGGCACTGGGCGCCATGGCAAAACCAATCGTCAGACCGGCTCGGTAGTCCCACAGAGCTACTAGTAGCTTCATTCTGAGTAGAAGGGAAAGTCAAGAAATTCAGAAAGGGACTTGTTGGAAATTGGGGAATTGTTTGTCAGAAACTTGTATCATAGGCCTGATGGCTTTATGACACTTGCCGCTTGCTTCAGGAGATGTGCATCATGTCGATGTGTAGCATGATATTTGCTTGATGTCCCACTTGATGTATAGTGTCTGCATGGAATCAGCTCAGCCATGCGACACGCCGACGATGCAAAAGATGTCGCTCTGCACGTTGCATTGGGCCAGGGCGGCCGGGGCGCTCCGTCAAAAACAGTGGCGGCAGTGCCAATAGCGATGTCAACCGCTGAATTCACCACGCAGGGAGTTGCCTCCAAGCACTCAAAAAGCATCAAAAAGCAAATGATCAAACCAAAGCATTTCAGAATAAATAGGTCAGGCACCTTCCCATAAGGAAGCTTGCCATCTGTCTTCGAGATGTCAATAATGATCTTAGCACGAGTGCTGCAACAGTGCGGTACTCAATGCAACTTCGCATGGGCAAAGACAATGCACTCAGGTTGCCACTGGGTGGAAGCTTCTCACGGCAATAAACACCGCAAAGGCAATGGCTGTTTCGAGTGCTTTAGGTGTGTCCTTGGCACATGAAGCACCAACAGCCGTTCGAAGAGAAAGATCTGGTTGGTGGCGAGCAAAAGATCTGCCTATCTCCGCCATTAAAACATCAAGTTTCTAGTTCTTGTTGCTACCAGTAAGGCACTTGTTACTACTAGCGTGGCACTTGTTACTAGTCCTCTACGAGGAGGCGATCCTTGCAGAACCTCCATCGACAGTTGACATCACTTCACCATCGGTGCAGTCTCGGGTTCAGACTTTCACATCGTCTTTGTTGTGCCTTTCGGAATGATTTGTTCAGCTTGTTCGACTAAAATCTGGAAACCTCTTGTGACAAAGAGTTAGCCAGTCCGTAGAAAGACGTGTGATCCTCAAAATGTCCCAAAGACTTCCAAAAAACAGAGTGAGGTGTCCTTGCAATTTCTCACATTCACTCCAACATTGGATGCATTTGATGCTACTAAGACACAAGCTTTTCACCCAAGCAGGTTTGCTATTAGGTTGGAGGCAATTGCTAGTAGGTTGGAGGCCATTGCTATTAGATTCCTTTTGCCTCTTTCTCCAACCTAATTGTGTTTAGACCTCTTAGACCTGAGAGATGAGAGATGGCGCCTCGGTAGGAGCGGCTGCTTCAATGAGGCCACTGGTGAGGCCATTGCTGCGGCTGCGCCTCTGGCGCCACCGGTCGAAACCAGAGGTGTCACAGTGGTTTAGCGTAAAACCGCGGTGTCTCAGTGGTGTAGTTTTGCGTTTTCACCTAGCGACAGCCTCCAACCTAATAGCGATGGCCTCCAACCTAAGAGCATGGACCCCAACCGACTAGCAATGGCCTCCAACGTGGAACAATTATGGAGGCCATCGCTATTAGGTTGGAGGCCCTTAGGTTGCAAGCCATCGCTATTAGTAACAAGAACGCTACGTTCGGGGCTCCTGGCATCGTTACTAGGAGCGATCGGACGCTACGTTCGGGCCATCGCACTTGAAGTCTCACAGCGAAGGGGCCGAGGCTTCTGCCGTCCCCCCCTAGCCTCTTCAAAGGCGGCGCCACACGAAAGCTCGGGCCCCGCGGCTGCAGAATACGACAAGTGCTCTCCTGTTTTGTTCTAGGAAAAACTGTTTACAAGGAAAAGCGAACTTGCAAATAGCATTGAGCACCATCTACGACAAATGCTCGGTTTGAACAGTTGCGACAATCTGCCATCCGCTTAGCCTAAGCGAAACTCAAGGACGCTGAGCGAAGTGAGGCACCTTGGAGCGAGACTCCTTCTTCTTCCAGCCAGGTGGCAAAGGCACCTGCCAAGCAGAAATCCTGGCCTTACTACTACTACTACTACTACTACTACTACTACTACTACTACTACTACCTACTAGTAGCAAAGGACGCTACTAGGAAAAAAGGACGTAGTAAAAAGAAGCTACTAGGAGCAAAGGGCATCGCTACCAGGAGCAAAGGGCATTCCAATCTGCAGGAGGCTGAAGAGTTACCATGTTCCACACCAATCGAACTCAATCACACTACATTACGATTCAAATCCATTTAATGGTGTCAATTCCTGTATTTTTCCTTTTACGCATAGAAACAATAGCCTCACGCTACGTAGTAGGTAGGTAGTTAGGTTTATCAACTGCTACTAGTAGTAGCTACCTCAGTTCCTTACTTAATTGGAGAAGCTACTAGTAACAAAGGGCATTTCTACTAGGAGCCAGGACGCTACTAGTAGCTCCTGGCCTTACTACTAGTAACAAGAAGCTACTAGTAACAAGATCGCTACTAGGAGCAAGGACGCTACTAGTAGCTATTTGCTCCTAGTAGTAATGCCAGGAGCTCCTAGTAGCGTCCTTGCTACTAGTAACAAGGGCATCGCTACGAACGGAACTGTCCCAGCTTTTTCGCCTCGTCCAGCTTTCGCTTTCTCGTTCTCAAGGCTTCGGACTCCAACTCGCCGCAATCCGAGATGATCGCCTCGCTCGCAAAGCGAAGCAAAACCGGTTTAAACATCTTTAAACAGCATGTTTATTCTTAAACCCCATGTTTGTGAATCCTTTCCAACCTCTTCTCCAAAAACGCTTTTTCAATGTTGAATTAAAACCTCTGTGCCAGTCTATATGTCTTGATAGGAACCTCTCAAGAGCAATCTGATGTGTCGCAGCGAAAGATCTAGGAACCAAATGAATAGTGCGAACGCTACCCTCCGTCCAGTAGCTTAGCTAGTAGCGTCATCCTTCATAATGAAGTAGGTAGTCTCCACTTAAGTAAGGAGACGGGGCCACGGTCTGAGCAGGCTATTAAAAATAAAACAACAAACTTCAGTTCTCAAGGCTTTCTCAACGTTGTTTCACCCAAGAAAACAGTACCAAACAGTATGCCTCCGGTTCTTCCTCCGTTACCTCCGTGTCTCGTTTCTCGCCTCAAAGAGTGGGGTGCCCCCCTTGGTGCCCATGGACTCGAGCTGCAGGAAGCGAAGGAATGGCGACGTCGTGGACCATCGTGGTGGCTTTTGCGGTTGGAACACAGTCCTAGTGGCTTCTTGCCCCTAGTAGTAACAAGTGCCTTACTAGTAGTAACAAGTGCCTTACTAGT